ATGAAAATCAAAAAAGCTGAAAACGAGAAAGGTATAGAGCCAGGATGCTATCATGCTCTGATACCATAAAGAAAATCATCAATGCAAGCTAAGAACAAGGCAAAAAGTTGTTCTGTCATTTCAAGCTAAAATTCGAATGTATTCAATGCAATAAGAAAGGGACGACTCAAGGTTACATCAATAAACCCTAGCTAGTTGTCTTTATATACAAGACAAAAGATCAATCTAGAATTCACCTATGCTAGTGAATAATGAGGTAAAACAAAACTGAATCAATCTCCTCCATACACGTATAAACCACAGATGAAGCATGGTGATTCATGCATGCAACACATTAGCTGACGTCATGCACACATGAGTTGATGATGTGGTGAATGCTGATTCTTTTCAAAATATTCTATCTTTAGAAGACGAAAGGAGTATATTGTGTTTAACAATTTGATATACATATATATGTCTTTCTTTGAGAATCACATTTTATTGATAATATTTGTTTTTACACTTTTTTTATGCTATTGCTTTGTTCTTTATATTAGATCATCTCCAATGCTATGACTTTGAAAGATAATAATTTTAACACATGTCAATTAATGACTGTAATGTTAATTCACATAGTAATAAATTAATAATGTTAAAAAGGCTAAAAATTTAAATCAAACTAAGATCTTCAATGCATCAATTTGATGAGAAGTTATTTGTATGTGCGGACCAATTAAAATTATTCATTGATACAAGAATAAAAAAACTAAACAAAATATGAAGTGAATTGATGAGTCATCATGTTTAACATGGTGTTAAATATTAAAAAGTGGGCTTAACATTGTCAAAATTAAATGACATCTACCTCATCATGAAAGAGTTCAAGACAAGATATGTACATTAGAGAATAAATTAGTAACACACTTTGAAAAGTTGATATGAATACATTTTTATAATGTCAAAAGCCATTTGGAGATGCTATTATAGTTTCTCTCTCTTTTTATTATGCCAACTTAATTTATAAAAACTTTACTTGTTCACATGCACGATATATAAATTAAAGGGACCGAACATGAATGGTGTTACGAAAATGAATGGTGCAACTGAATTTGATAATGCAATGGTTTCAATGTAGTCTAAAAAATTAAAAAGCTAAATTCATGTTGTAGTGTACAGGGAGTACACAAGTACGATTTTTGTGTAACAACACATAGATGTTAAGATATGCTGTAAAAGATTGGCTTTCAAATATTGATAATTCCATTTTGATCTGGCAATTACGTTTTAAGCAAAGTATATATGTTTGCAGTTTATTTATTTATGCAATCATAACTCATTTATTTTACATTGTAGATAGTATGGTTCGTCGTGTTGAACACAAAAATCATATTATCGGTTCCTTGTAAAATATAAACTAATTGTTCACAGGCAGTGACACCTCTGTTGGAAAAAGACTATAGTGTAAGTCTTCGTTCGGTTAGTCTTTGACTGATGGATTACACTAGTATTTATGATAAATATTGAACAGGACCGCGAAAAAATAAGATTACAAGATTTTATGATCGTCGTTATAATCTAAACCTTTAGTAATTGAAGAGCGGAAGTACATTGTAATGTTCTTGGGCTGTGGCCCGGGGGAAATTTGGAACAACTTAAGTATTTTTATATAAAAAATGTGGTCAATTTATATTGTAGCCCACCTCTTGATTGACAGCCACGTACGTAGCCCAAGCGTTTAAAAATTTAAACTATGACCAATTAGACAAATAAATAACACAACGTCATATTTTTTAATTACCATCTAATCAACTATTGAAATTATTCAATTGATGAGTCTAATAATTAAAAGTTAAATGTTATTTGAATACTCTCTTTTTTTCTTTTGGAAAACTTCATGAGAAATCTATTTCTTGTAAATATATTGTGAAAAAAATGTTCACTTTTTATTGGTTTATGTATACGTATTCTTTTGTTCGTATATTACACATATCTTATGAGTTAGAATATTTAATAAATTTTTATAATCTACAAATAGATATTCCTATTGAATGTAAAAAATAAATTTATGCTATTAATTGCCTATTATTATCAAATACACACCACAAGAAAATGATGAAATTCAAAAGAAAGTTCCAACAAAAATATATTTTAATGAAATTCCAACGGCAATTTCAATGGACATTCCATTGCTATTATTTTCATTGGAATTTTTTAACTGGTTCAAATGGATGTTCCAACAAAAGTAATCCGTTAGAATGAACTTTTTATTGGAATTTCCGTTGGTACCGTTTCAATAGAAACTATATCATTGGAATATCCATTAAATAGTATCGTGAAATTTTTCGTTGAAATATGACAATTTTTTAGTGATGAGCTATTTTAGCATAAAAAGTGTTACTTTAGGGTTAATTCAATAAATATTATTTCAAGATATACATATTATTATTGTCTACAAAAATTTCATTTTTAGAATTTAGTTATTAATTTATCCTTNTATAATTTAAGGCTTGATAAATTAAAATACTAAATCATGCTAGTAAAAAATAATTCAAAATAATATTTTTTAATCTAAATAATTTAAGCTCGGGTAAATTTCAAATCCTGGCTGCACCCCTGAAGTGTACTCTTAAGCCGTCCGAACCATATCCGAGTCATCACCCGATCCATCCGAGTCACCCAATCGCAGTCATGAGAGTGCTTTGTTTCTTTGTTTTCCGTGTCTATTGCTTTTCAAGATGAAAAATGTCAAAACGGAATCATACCAAGCATGCAATTGCAAACTATGGTCGTCTCACCTCATAATTGTCGTTGTTAACTTTTATTTAACTTTTTTTTTTGAATTATTTATTTAGGTCAATCCTCCTAGATTTACACAAAATATATTAGAGCATCTACAATGTTTTGGGTTCAACCACAAAAAATTGTATGTCACCTAAGAAGTAGACATAATCTAAAAAAATGTATTCTCTAATGCAAACAAAAGTAGACTAGGTCATGTTGATGTGACAACCAAAAAAAGAGACCCGGTCTACCCTTAGGTCTATTTTAGACCCAAGTAGAGACCTAATCTCTTTGTATTGGTGATACGGATAGCACGTGAGACCCATTGGATATATTGATCCAAGAACCAAACGTATATTTAGGCAACGGAATCCCAGATCGGAGATCTAGTTTGATCGTACCTGAAGCTTGAAAACCTCGACACGTTAGCTATATAATCAGCTAGGAACCTCGGTATGGCGAACGCCACAAGATCTTGTTCAAGTATCTTGATAAGTTCTTAAAACATTTGAAACTCTACAAAAGAGAATTCAACTCACAAAAGTGATTTTTAATATTCAGCAATATTCCTAATATTCATTAAAACATAAAATGCCCTTTTTAAAGGCTACAAATGGTGCTAATGAGTTAATCCCATTTTTGGACTCATTAAGCACTAAAAACATAGTTTTGACCACATAATGAATCTTACATAAGGTTTGAATGACCTTTTGACTTCTAAGATAACTAAAGAGCCATTTTGGTCTCAAAAATGCTGAAAATGGACAAAGTAATGGACACTTTAATTGGGCTTCACTCAATAGACAAAATTAAGTCTTCTATCCATAGATTAGTCTTTATGCGAACAATCTGGCCCATCAACTTGAAGAATATTCACCATTTTACCTTCAATCGGTGTTTCTTACGTCTTCTCTTGAAATTCAACAGTAAGACACTCATGGCTTCCTTCATTTTACTAGCTATTTCCCTTATGATCAGCTCTGCATTTATTTTAAACAAATCAATCTTACTGTGAATGGAGAGCTTCGACCGAACCCCATCAATTGGAGTGCATTTTATCCATTTTACATAGTTTTATCCATGTCATTCAAGACTTGAGTTTATTTACATGCCACATAGGCAATACTAGACCCAATGCATTGTAGATGCTCTAGTGGATTGAATTATCACTTGGAACTAGCATATTTTTTTAATTTGTATCTATTTGTCTATTTACTAGATAAAAAATTTTCAGGCACACAATGGCCATATCTTGTTATTTTCCAACTATGGTAATTTATTCCATTAGAAATTCCAACGGATATTCCAATTGTATAACTTCGGTTGGAATGATTCAAATGGGAATTCCAACGAAAACATTCCGTTGGAATGTGTTTTTCATTGGAATTTTAGATGGAATTTGATGATTCCAACGGCTATTTTTCCAACAGCTTTTTACCGTTGGAATTTTATTTCCACCCCTGTTGGAAAATCTACCATTGGAATCGTCAAAATCTAACGAAAATTCTAATGGAAAACTCATTCCAACGGAAACTTTTTGTTGGAATCCATTGAAAAATTCCAACGGGAATAATAGCATTGAAAAATATCTATTAGAATTGCTGTTGGAATTCTATTTGAATATATTCCGTTGGAATTTCATTATTTTAGTGAGAATTAATAGATAAATAAAAAAAATTATTTATAAAAAAAAATAATTATTTTTTTATCTATTCAATATGGATATTGTTACATTATGACATGTGTAATTGCACGTGCGCTCAACGCAAGTTTTGAGTAGTTTTAATTACTTCTACATTTCTTTTAGTTATTAGGCTCAATCATTATTAGGTCCATAAGATGAATAAGGGCCTAATATTTACTAATTAGATAATGGGCTCACGGCCCAAAAGATTATTCATGCACGGCCACCGGCACGAAGCACATGATATCACTTCACNTTCAATATATATTTTATTACCGCTAGTAATCACTCATTCATACGATACGACAATTTTTTTCTTTCTTTCTTCGTTTTCCCTAATATCTTTGACAATTTAACGTGTAATTCGCAAGCATATATGGAAAGTAAGTTGGTACATAGAGTAGTCAAATATATATAGTTATTTAATGAAGCATGTTGGATATGACGAGGACGATATGGATGAACTCCTTCGCTAGGTCGAGTTTGTCCTTCAAAGCCTCCGGCAAGCTCGATTTCCCATAACTGTCCGTGCACGTCTCAATATATGACTCGGCAGCCGAGGCCATAACGTTGATGCCGCTGAGATCGAACTTGGTGGTCTTGTTCCAGAGATCCGCACTATCCTCGAGTAGGCCCAACGCGGAATGGCAATAGCCCGTACACTGCCCATTGGACATGTTCCAGGCAGCCATGGTGGCATTTATGGCCAACATGTTAACGAAATGGCCCACACACTTTATGGTTTTGAGGGTGTCGGTTGGATTGGGTCCGCATGCCTGGGTACAGGCGTACGAAGCCAAGGTCTTGTTGCAGTTCGGGGCCATATGATCTGGGTCTTGGCAAACGAGAGATTTCAAATCGTGCGCGTTTAAGAAAAAAAGGGAAGAAAGAGTGGTAAAGAGTAAAAGAAAATTAGTTGCCTTCATTTTTGAGTTAGGGTTAGGGTTTTGAGATGGGAAGTATAGCCTCATGAACTTCTCTATTTATAGAATAACAATGGTTGCTGGTAAGCTGCTTAAATGTTAGACACTTGAATATTTGAATATGAAATATTTAATATTTTATTAGAAGAGTATAATAAAATGCATGGTCTTTGAGTGCATAGACAAGGAGTAATTAAACGGGGTTAAAATTAAAAAAGAGGTTACGCATGCTTGGTGTTATTATTAATTTTTGTGAGTCAAATATTGGTATGATGATAATGGATAAGTAACGAAATTGGACGAGGCTTGATGTGTAATTAATTAACCCCTTTCACTTCACTACAGCCAATAGGTATAGTGAACAAGATACTCATGAACATATATATAAAGTTTAATTTTGTTCTTCTATCTATACCTACCAAATATATGTTCATATTTCACTTTTTTTATAGGTGGTGTCCCAATAAACAAAAACAAATGTAAATAAAAGGCAAATATTTTATCTTCATATCCACAACAATGATTATATTTTGTCGAGTTGTGTGAAAAAAATAATAAAAATTTTTAATGAAAGAGAGGTTGCCGGGTGGCAATGATGTATGGTAAAAAATTTATTTATGACACTTTTCAAGTCAATTTTTTTTTTTCAAATTATTTATCCGAATCTAAATACAAAGAATGATACTGTGACCGTAAGATTCCAAAGCATGCGAACCTCCCATTTAGGATCAACACATTTTGAATTAGTATATAAGAAAATATGTCTCTCTTTAAGAATCATTTTTTATTGATAATATTTGTTTTTATGTTATCCTTTTTCCTTCATTTTATAGTTTCTCTCTCTTTGTTATGCCAACTTCGTTAATATAGACATTAATCGTTCACATGTAATATAAATTAAAGGAATCGAAGATGAATGGTGTTTAAAAATAAGTATTAATACAATACAACGCAATCTAGAAAATTAAAAAGCTAAATGCATGTTGTACGTAGTGTGTGGGGAGTACACTGTACACGAGTATGATTTTTGTGTAACAATACATAAATAAATGTGGAAGCAATTTAACAAAAATTCTTCGGAGAGATTCGCCGCCGGTGGGCATTGGTGGCGGCATGTATGCATGATACCTAATGTATGACGTAGTATTGCAAGATGGTGAAATTAAGTGTTTTTTTTTTTTNATTCTCCAGAATTGTTAGACGGCGAGAAGTAGGGTTCTTAGAAATCAATTTTGTTCATCAATTTTTACAGAATGTTTCGCGCGCTTCTTTTTTTGATATATTTATTAGGAAGTGGAATTTTGTTTTTATTATGTTGATTGGGATTTGGGAAAATATAAACACTGTGCAAGTGTATTAACTGATATAACACTTTTTAAAAGGAGTGTTATAATATGGATAAGTGTTGTAATTTATATAACACTTTTAAAAAAGTGATGTGTTTTGCTTTCCCTTATGACGTGCTTGTTAAATTAAGTGTTATCTAAAGGCTACTTGTTGTTTACATAGCACTTATTTAAAAAAGCGTTATGTCGAGAATTCGTCGGGTTTTCGGGGTGTCTTCTCAACCTTAGTACATCAGTACAAACCGGATATTTTTGCTATTTTTGAACCACAAATCAGTGGGGTAAAGGCGGACAAATTCGTACAATTTAGTAAGTTCGAGAATTCTTTTCGAGTTGAAGCTCGGGGTTTCTCGGAGGGTATTTGGCTTCTGTGGACCGCGGACTTGAAAGTTGATGTGCTGCATTATTCTAAACAATTAATTCATGTTCGGGCAACAAAGGATGGAGTGGAATGTTTGGTTACTTTTATCTATGCCAGCCCCAACGCTAGAGTTCGTAGACTTTTGTGGGAGGAACTAGAGTATTTGGCGGCTAATATATCGGAACCGTGGCTAGTAGGGAGCGACTTTAACTGCCTCCTCCATCGGTCGGAAAAAATGGGTGGCTCCTCTAACTCCTATAATATTAGTCAGGAGTTCTCGGATTGGCTCTTCACCAACAGCATCCAAGAGGTTGCTACAGACGGTCACTCTTTCACTTGGGTTAGGGAGGGCCAAAATGGAGGAATTTCAGAGAAGCTGGATCGTTTTGTGGCGAACTTGGCCTGGTTGGAGAAATTCGAGAGGGGTCGGGTTCGACTTCTTCCACGTATACACTCTGACCACTCACCCCTTCTAATGGACTTTGGTATACAGAATTTTACCACATCCGAACTCAAGTCATTTCGGTTTCTAGCAGCCTGGCTTCTACTCCCGGGATTTTCGAATTTGCTACACGACACCTGGCACCCTTCCCTTAGCTTTACTGAGGCAACAGAAAAGTTCATAGAAAAGGCGAATGAATGGAATTTCACGGTGTTTGGTAACATATTTCAGCGCAAAAAGCGGCTTCTGGCGCGAATAGGAGGGATTCAGAAAAGCAGACGTTTTTACTTCAAGGAAAGCCTGGTCACACTGGAGCAACAGCTGAGGCAAGAACTGGATGACGTGATTATGCAAGAAGAGATGCTACTGATCTAGAAATCTACTCGGGATTGGCTGCAGTTGGGCGATCGTAACACGTCCTACTTCCATAGACAGATCAAGCACCATAGACGACGGGTTTGTGTCACGGAGTTGATTGATGCTGATGGCAACCTGGTCACCGACCAAATGGAACTTCGTCGACTAGCCACTGACTTTTTTAAAGGGATCTATACGGCTGGTCAAAGTCCGACGACGCGAGGGGAGGAGCCTAACTTATTTGCTGCTCGACTTGGGCCCGAAAGGCTAAATTTGGCGGCAGACATCTCGGACGAAGAACTCACCTCGGCCTTGCATAGCATGGGTGCATTAAAAGCACCCGGTAGGGATGGGATAAAATGCTTTGTTCTACAAGAAAAGTTGGGAAATCATCGGGCCCTCGGTTCAGGATTTTCTTCGGAACATGTGGCGAGAATGGGCGGTACCGAGTGAAGTAAATCAGACGCTACTCGTTTTAATCCCAAAGGTGGTGAATGTTCACACGATTAAACAATTCCGACCCATCAGTCTGCTCAATGTCATTTATAAGCTCTTTACCAAAATTTTGGTGAACCGCATGAAGGAATCATTACCAGACCTGATCCATCCAGCACAATCTAGCTTTGTACCGGGACGTCAGATCATAGACAATATTGTGGTAGCGCAAGAGCTAATTCACTCCATGCGTAGTAAACGAGGAACGCGAGGATATATGGTTATCAAAGTTGATCTCGAGAAGGCCTACGATTACCTCCGATGGGACTTCATTGAGGAAACTTTGTGGCAAGTCGGCTATCCGGACCCCCTTATAAAAGCTATCATGGCCTGTGTGAGCTCGGCTTCGACGGCGTTGGTATAGAATGGGACGGTCGGGGAGGAGTTTCGACCTACTAGAGGGGTACGACAAGGTGACCCTGTGTCCCCTTACCTATTTGTCCTATGTATGGAGCGATTGGCGCAGCTTATATGCTAGTCGGTAGGACGGTCAACGTGGCGCCCAATGTCTGTAGGCAGAGGGTCCGTCGAGGTCCCTTTTTTTATGTTCGCGGATGACTTATTGCTTTTCTTGGAGGCCACGGACGAGCAAGTGCGGGTCCTGAGGGATGTTCTTGAGCATTTCTGTAATATCTCGGGATTGCGAGTTAGCTCGGAGAAAACGTTAGTCTGCTTTTCCAACAATGTAGGGATCAATGAACAACGTCGACTAGCGGATTCTCTTGGGTTCAAGTGGACAGATAATCTGGGTAAATACCTAGGAATGCCCATGCTCCACGGCAGAGTAACCAAACTCACCTATGCCCATATTTTGGAGAAAACCGAGTCACGCCTTGCCGGATGGCGAATGAAGTCATTGTTGATGGCCGGGCAAGTTACACTTACCCAATCGGTCCTTAACTCGCTGCCCTACTACTCAATGCAATCGGCCAAGCTACCGTGTGCATAGACGGAATTGAAAAACGAAGCCGAGCCTTTGTGTGGGGTGGATCAGAAGAGCGGAAGAAACTACACTTGGTCACGTGGAAGGATGTTTGTAAGCCTAAAGGTGAAGGTGGCCTGGGATTAAAGGACATGCGTCGCATGAATACCGCACTTCTAATGAAGCTGGGATGGGGGATTTTGACGAAGAGAGACTCTCTCTAGGTGAGGGCCTTGAGGGAAAAATACAGCATCAATCTATCGGCTCGGCTGGACACTCTCCATAACAGGCAAGGGTCAAGTCTAATGAAAGCTCTCAATCAAATTTGGCCCTAAATAGTTAAAGGTATACGGTGGAGTATAGGCAATGGTGAAACTTCTCGCTTTTGGCTGGACTCTTGGTTAGGCACGATCGGCCCGTTGGTAAGATACATGACCAGTCAGCCGCCGGAAGCCACCCTACACTCGAAAGTGGCGGCCTTTGTTGACGAGCGCGGTAACTGGAAGTGGGACCTGTTCCATGGGTTTCTCCCATCCACCATACTGATGCGCATTGCCGGATCCCTACCTCCGAGGAAATCGGCCGGCGAGGATAAAATTATGTGGGGACTATCACATGATGGTATTTTTTCTACACGCACGGCCTACAAAGGTCTGCACTCTCCGACGATAGATCCCGATCAATCCCTATGGAAACTTATTTGGAGAGCACCGGCCTCGCAAAGGACCCGTAATTTTTTGTGGCTCACGGCCAGAGGTAGATTGCTGACCAATTTGGAACGAGTGCGCCGGTATATCTCACACTCGGCGGCCTGTGATTTTTGTGGAGAAGACGAGTCGGTGTTGCACGTGTTACGCGATTGCCCTACTGCGAAATCTTTGTGGACTCAACTGCTACCGAGGGAAATAAGCAGGACCTTTTTCCAACAGCCGCTCAAATGCTGGATTGAGTACAATCTAGCAAAGGCAAAGGTGGGACCGTGCGCTAATTGGAATAGTATATTCGCCCATGCAGCCTGGTGTACGTGGAGGTGGAGGAATGACCGCATATTTAACCACCGATCTTATAGTGGTGAATTTAGAGGTCGGGAGGTATTGAGACTGACCGTGTCCTATGGCCGAGCGCTCGAAGCTTTTCGAAAGGTGGGAGCCCACATTCACGTCACGCGTTTGATAAGATGGTGTCCGCCTGAGTCGGGATGGGTCAAAGTGAATACAGATGGAGCTTTTCAAAGCAGCACGGGCCTAAGTAGTGCGGGAGGCCTTCTCCGGGATGAGGCCGGAAGATGGATCGAGGGGTTTTTAATGAATATCGGGTTTAGCACTATCACAGGGGCTGAACTCTGGGGTTTGTTTCAAGGTCTTCAACTGGCTTGGGACCGGGGCTACCGCTAGGTTATTGTCGAAGTTGATAGCCAATGTGTGACGACAATGATCCTTGGGCCCGGAGTGATGTTTGGAATTCATGATGCACTTGTCCAGGCCATTCGTAGTTTCATCCACAAAGAGTGGCATGTCAGGCTCCAACACGTGCATAGGGAAGCAAATTTTGCGGCTGACTATATGACGAGCTTGGCGTCGTCTTCCCCATTGAGTATGCAACGGGTCCACTCACCCCCCGTGGGTATGGGGACATGACTTGACCATGATTTTATAGGGTTTCCCATCCCCGACGAGTCCTAACTTAATCAACCCCTAGGCTTCTAGCCTCCTTTTCTGAAAAAGCGTTATGTCAAAAGTGTTATGTGAATGTTTTTGGCGTTGTATATAATTTAAATCTTGAATCTAAATGAGCAATATCAGGTAAATGGATACGCATAACGTATGTATATGCATAGACAAAGTTGACTCCAATATTTCAATAATCAGCATTATTTCCACTTGGAAAACCAAATCTATACGCGTGCTTAATAACAGGAAGGAAAAATCGAGAAGGATTTAATAAGATATAAATAATATATCATAAAGTGTATATTATATATTATCTACCTTTTACAAAATTGATAATTAATAAAAAAGAAAAAAAATATTTACAGAATATTTTACATATATATAAATCACAATATAAATTGCATAAAACATAATAAATAATTAATGTAACTTTTACAAATGTGAATAGTGACAAATTAATACTATGAGAAAACTGTAAATCATTATGTTATATACCGATTGTGGGGTTTATGTCAATAAAATTAAGTAGTAATCTAAAAAATTCGTTTAATAAGATAAAAATAAAATGATAATACTAATAATAAAATAAATAGTTTGAAAATAATATTTTCTATAGTACTTTTAGAAGTGTGTATTTTTTATAAACTGTTTAGTGTGAATTTATGGTCTAGTTAATATTAGCAGCTATTATCTTATAATAAAATAATTAACAAATATTATTACATTTAATTAATAAAAAATTAACATTTAGCTTCCGCAATTAAATAAAAAAATGAATAAAAAATAGTATTAATTGAATAGCCTATAATTATACATATCTAATATTCTTAGTAAAGAGTCCCTTTTCTCCCTTTAACTTAGAGAAGCAAGCAAAAATCAATGGATCTAAGCAAATAGCTAAAAATAAAAAAAAAAAATAAAACACGTTCATAAAAAACTCAAGCAATAAATTCAGCATTATAAATAACTAGAGATAATCCAACCTATACATTAGGTTATGAAAATTTGTCAGTGAAAACGACAATAATTAATGATCATGACTTTGAGTCAACAGTTGCCGACCATGGTTTTCGAATTCAATTAGCCTTTATTTTATAGCTTCTTGAAAAGTAAGCTAAAGGAATGAAGGAAGAAACGAAAATCGTTTTCCACTTCTTGGGTAAATAAATGTGACTCGTGATGATGGGATAAATTTAAATTTTCATTTTTTTAATCCATTTTTAGTACTAACTAATAGCAAAAGCAAGTAATTAAGATTCAAAATGTAATAAATAACAGAATGTTGATCTGGAAGAATTAAATGACAAAAAGAAGAAGAAGAAGAAGAAGAAGAAGATGATCTCTGCCTTGCCTTCGATCACCACGTTTAAGATGAGTCTCATATTAAAACTTCCTTGCAACAAATCAAACGCAAACAGGCAAATTCCAGAGATCTGTGAAAACTAATAAAAATCCAACAACAATTTATCAAATCACAGTGAAAATGTGAAATACATAAAGAAAAATCAACTCCTGTACAAATCTGGGCAATCCAACTGGTACGCAAGAGTTGTAACCAAGTGTTTTTATGCACACAAATTAATATAATTTATTATCATTTTTTTACTCTCACTTTTTGTTTTTCGAAAAGTCTTCTAAAACCTAAGAGCAACATGAAGCGCTAGCTGTCCTTTCAGCTGGTCGATCCACAAGGACCATACCTGATGGGTTCGGTGCAGGCTGCAAACGAGGCAATCTCTTGGCTGTTGGACAATAAATCAGTTACTACTAACAACTACAATAAAAATGCCTCGTAAAACAAAGGTACGAATATTTGGTGTGGCTGGCTCAGGCACACATGTTATAGGGGTGAAAAGAAAATCGTTTTCTTCCAAAATTACAAATATCGAATTCACATTTGTGTTGCGTTCACAAATTGGGCCTCAAGAGTGTAAATGGCAGTGACAATTTCAAATGATTATCCAAATTTTTGAAAGAAAACAGGAAAATCAAGGCCATTTGCCCCTGGTTTTCTTCAAGTGTTTGTTCTCCCATGATCTCATTGAGGCTAATGCAAGAAATTTTTGAGATATCTCATTCAACAGGAGGTCTTACATTTTTTTCGGCAAACAGAAATTAAATGCTAAAAATAATTCGAGCTAATAACTTTTACCTATCTCATAAAATATGTCATTGACATTTGTTGCTGTCTTTGCAGAAGTTTCCATGAAGAAAAGACCATTCTCCTGAGCATAAGCTTCAGCTTCCTGCAATGATAATAATTAAGAAAAATATTAATAACGTTAAGCATACAGCACAAATTAAGTACACCGTTTCGCAATCCAAGGTTTCGCTCCCAGAAATGAATTAAATATATTTGCATTATCTTTTATTGGATATCTGTACCCACCAAGTAGAACTAGTGATACCCTCAAATAACTACCATCCTTCTATAGTTCTATATTTTATTAACTTCAAAGTAGTAAAACTATGTTTTTATTAGACAAAGATATTGCACTTCATCAAGAATAAGTTATATACAAGACAGAATTAAAAGTACAGCAGTTGTGTAAGAGATGAGTGATCCACATAGGATGGGAAAAAGGATAAACTGCTTACCTCTGCTGCCACTTTTCTTCCATCCAACAAATCTGATTTATTCCCAGCAAGTGCCATAACCATATTTGGGTTACCTTATGCCAGAAAACAACGGTGATCAGCATTGAATATAACTTAGCCATTGAAAAGGAAAACCCCTCTCCTACAGATATTAAAATGATTAAACTTTTACAGACTCCACGATAACTTTCAGGAAAGTAACAAAAACTGCTAGCTAACCTACATCAGTCAAGTGAGAAATACAGAACTGTAACATCAAAAGCACTTAACATGCAGAAAACCATCCTACACACTGCCAGAAGTAGAAATCCCCTAATTATTGCGTGTCGGTTTGCAATTTGGCAACCAACATTCAAGGCTAAGAGTTTAAGGAATGTACCTTGTGCTTGAAGCTCTTGAACCCATTTCTTGGCCCGTTCAAATGAGGCCTATCGAATCCAGCAATATAATAAAAAATTTGACGAGAACAATCAAGAATCGATTGAAGTTGCTACTAATTTAACAGGAAAAGAAAATTCTTCTCTTCACTAGTTTCAATAGGATGAATTACTGGCAGCTTAAACATGATGTTTTTGTATTTCCAAGGCCATTTCCCAAAGCTTAGGGCAGTACAAAGACTGATAACTCATTATATACAAATATAACATGTTTTTTAGGACTTGGTACTTACTTGATTTGTGATATCATAGACAATAATAGCGGCGGCAGCTCCACGGTAGTACATTGGAGCTAAGCTGTGGTACCTCTCCTGACCTGCTGTATCCCATATCTCAAATTTTACAGTTGCATCATTCACAGCAACTGTTTGGGAAAAAAATGCAGCTCCTATAGTTGATTCCTACATCAGCTGAATCCAGTCAACTAAATGGATCCTACGAGGAAATTCTGATTTGATGTACCAATCATTAACTAATTCACGATATGTGTTTACCAACCTGAAACTCAACGAATTGCCCCTTCACAAATCGCAACACCAAACTAGACTTTCCAGCTCCAACATCTCCAAGAAGCACCTAAAAGAAAATTACGCTCATCAAACATAGCAATGGGGATGAAAAGATGAAAACGGTAAACAGACACATAGATTTTAAAAACTTAAAACACAACACTGTAAGGTTCAAATTAGGTATAGTATGCCAAGCATATATTTTCATGTAACGAGCCATCTCAACCCACAATCTTTTCTAGAAATACATTACGGCGCTGAATGCACAAATTCAAAATCTGATGTTCATCAACAGGGCTAAGATCGATAATTCAAATTACGAGATACCGTGTCATATACAGGACTAAAAGTTGAGTTAATTTTGGTTATTATTTAATCCGGGTGTTTTTTTGCATCATCATATCATTTTTTCGCACCTAACTTCATTGGCTCGCCTATATAAACAGGTGGTGTATTCAGAATAAAAAGGATCATCTGTTCACATAAGTTTCAGGACGTTGGTCCCTGATCAACATCAGCCAAAATGCACAAAAGACAAATTCGAGTAATCTCCGTTTTCTGATTACACTCAATTGAATTAAAAACTCAATCTAGCAACTAGTGTATAAACTACTATCAAGCAGATAATTCTAGCGAGCAGATTGCTACACAGACCATTCAATACCCACCATCATCAATCGCCCACGGTCAACTTTAAGCAATTACCTAACTGATTCCAATCCACAATGTAATCTAGTTATCAAACCCATTGTCTATTTCTAATAGATAAGGATACGATCTTCACGATTGAGGTCAGAAAGTTGTAATTCACCAAAAAAAAAAAGCAGCCCAAACCACGCTGATAAAATCAAATGAAGAAAACGAATTGCACAGCAATTGAGACGCAAAATTAGGAATTGGGAAAAAGTACAAACCAGCTTGGCGTTGATGTTCTTGTTGCCGGCGGACGCCATCACCCAAATTCAGGCACAAATCGACGGATGAGCCTGCCGGAGTAAAATTGCCGTTCAGTAGATACAACAAATTCCGAATCAAAATGAGAGAATTATTCAGCTGAAGGGTATGAGTTGACGCGAAGGAAAAGAAAATTGGAAACCTAATAAAGGTAGAAGAGATGAATTGGTATAATATTCATTTAGTACGTCTTATTTACTTCCTTTATTTTTATGGTAAAATGATGTTAGATATGATTATATAATTAAAATTTTCTAATAATATATAATTTTAATATGATTAAAATAATTATAAATGAAAGAATAACGTTTTATATTATCTCTACTTTCGTTTTTATTAAAAAAGTTTAATCAGTGGACTGTGTAGTGTATAATAATTACAGTCTCATTCTTGTGAACTTTTATACATATTTTTTTGTCACAAGTTGTTNNNNTGATTAAGGACCCAATGTGTATGGAGCGAGATTATGCCTTATGGTCCATGTAGTTGCCGATTAAATCATTTGGTCAACTATTGTGAATTTATGGTCAAATTAGAACCCTCTATTGGTAAAATAGATTACCTAGACCGACATATCCATTTTGACTGCTATTTTACTTAAAAGTAACTAATAACTAATAAGTATAAGACGGTTAGTTAGGCCTAGTGGGTTACTAGATCATAAAATTTATTAATATATGTATATATTTTTTTTTTAATTTATAATGTGTACTCTAAAGTAACATGATGTTTTTATATTTAATGATTTAATTTTATTAAAAACATAATAAATTGATCCGTCTACTAATTAAACTGCTTTACTAATGAAATTTAATATCGGACACTTATGCAATATGGGGCACTTGGGTCGATAGGAGACCTGTGAATTTCATTTATTTCACGGATGGGTGAAAGTCAAAAGGCTGAAATACCCACTGCCCATTCTGCCAAGGAAAATGATTAAAGATACATGAAGAATAAAGTTACTTTAATCGTAATTTTTTCACAAATTCTCTTGCAACCTACAATTGGATCCGATCCATTATATTATTTAAATAAAAATATATATTTATATTATTGAATGTTATACTTTGTTTATATTATATTTCAAAACATGATATTTTCTAACAAAAATATAATTGTTTATAAGAACAAAAGTATGACAATCTAAAATTAAGTTTGATTGGTCTAGTACAAATTCAATCATAATTATTTGACACAAAAGTTATACATAATGTGATATAAGTTTATAAAACTACATAATTTAATTTGTATGTGAAATTTTATACCGACTATTATACCATTATGTTACTGGAAAATGCTACAATCCCGTTACGGAACCATTCCATTGGGATTGTAACCGTTAGATCATCAAGTAACGGTCAATGATGCTTGATCTAACGGTTACAAATCCCAACGGAATGGTTCCGTAACGGGATTGTAGCCTTACCCTATGTTACTATAGCATTATCCATATAAAAATAACAATTTTCATTTATCGAAGAAATTATATGTAACAAAAATATTTTAAGCAAGTGTAGGAAGACAGACGTCACATTTTGATTGGTGGTGGGGAAAGGGGAAAATGACAACTGAGTTCATGAGAGAGTACACACACAAAAACACATACACACAGAGCTTCTTCTCTTCTCAGGCATACAAACAAGGCTGACAACAGGCCCAATAATAGCCCATAAATGCCCACTCTGCCAATTTGTTTTTGCAGGTTTATCACACTTCCCATCTTGACCACATTTCCTTTCTTTGACCACACTTTTTTCATTTCTTTTTATTTTTTTATTATTTCTTTTAGATTCCATTTTGCTAAATGCACTCACACTATCAGTCTATCACACATCAACCACAAGATTTTGCTTTTCTCCACATAATTTATTAATTTGCATGCCATGCAAATTAATAACCCTTTATCTTCTTCATCAACCTCTCTTAAACTACTTCAAACTGAAATAAAGTAAGACTGTTCCAAATAAATACATAAAATAAAACCCTAGTTAACATGAAATGTTAATATGTACGATCAAATATTTTCAATAAGAAATCTCTTTTTTTTTCTCTCTCTAAATAAACATATTTATACCCAAGCATGAGGTTATTAAATTTAACAAAAAGAAAGACTAATAAAACCAATGGGTTGATAACTTGATAAGCATAATTAAATATGAATGAAATAAAAATATAAATAACTATAAAGGTAATTAATTAATTAATCAATAAATTTATTTTATTTTGGAGGCGGCTGAGCGTTATTTTGAGCCGCCAAGGCGAAGATTGAATTAGCGAGCTTGTTAATGGAGTCTACAAGGCCGTTGATTCCCTGCCGGTTAATCTCAGCCTTCGATTCTTCTATCCTTAGCCTCCTCTCATGAATGCTCATCATCTCCCGGTGCCGCCTCTCTTCTCTCTCCTCGCACGACTGAATAGCTCCGGCTATAACCGAAGCACTTTTCGAAATCGCCGAACCTAATTCTTGTATTGTGCCGCCGCTCGTTCCTTCTCCGGCAGCGGCGGCGCCGCCGCCGGGTCTCTTTCTTCTCTTCGCCGGCGAGCCTGAGTAGTCGCTGGTGTCGGAATCTACTGTGGGTAGCGGCTGAAAAGAAGGCGTCTCAGCCGCTGCCGCCGCCGCCGGCCCAATCGCCGGAGCATGGTAACCGACGGAATGCTGCTGCTGTGTCGGAGGGGACACCACCGGAAGAAGAAAGACACCACCTTTCTCCGTCGGCGGCGGTCGAAGGCCCTTCCTCTCCACCACATCCACCAGCGCCTCGTAGACCTGGGGAAGCATGTTCGACGGCAGGTTATTGTCCTTCCTCTCGGTCTTCTCGATCCGCCAGTAGGATCGCCGGTTTCCGTCGGCGGTTCCTCCCTCCGGCGACTCCGCCGCCCGGCGCTCGTACTCGCGGACCTTCTTGAAGTCCCGCATGAGGTTGTCCCACTTGTCATTGCACTGATTCTGGCTCCTCAAGCAGCCCTTCCGCCAGCAGTAGTCCTCCACCCACTTCCACCGCAGCTCCGCCGGCTTGCCCCGCTCGCCGCCGCCGGGGGATTCGCCCAGCCGTCTCATTCTCCGCTCGTCGTCCATTCTCTTGGCCTCGATAAGGATCATCGTCTCCTGGAGGTTCCAGTTGCCTTTTCTGTAGTCCCTCAGCACGGCGTTGTTGTTGTGGGCTGCGGCGGAGGATGTTGCGCCGCCTTGATTGACCACCGTCAGATCCATGCGAAGAAGNTTTTTTCTTTTTTTTTTTAAAAATCTTAAATAATAAAATGTTGTTTCTTGTATTGGCTTATTGGCTATATATGGGTATAGAGGTGTAAACAAGTTGAGGTTTTTCTCAACCTCGAGCCTTTATCGAGCTGGAGTTGGGCTTCACTACAACAACAATTGATTCAGAAGCACTTGTTATATAGAAGCTCAACTCATGATTCAATTACCTATATTAATAAGTTGAGCTTCAGGCTTACAAATCAAACTACAGAAGTTTCTATATAGTTGGAGCCTTAGTAACTACATGAGCTCACTAGTTCCTATCAATGCATTTTTTTTATTAATTATTTTGATCCTTATTGTTTGACAAAAATCTATTTGTTGCTTTGGAGGAGAAGAACATTGCATTTTCATAAAAGGAATATGGAAAGGAACATTTTGCTTTTGAGTTTGGGAACACATATGATCATTAAGGCTTTTGAGAATTGATTTTATAGTTGAAGTTTCTCTAAAGAAACTTTGTTGCAATAACCACCTTTTTTCTACTGTCCCTTTCTCCTCTTGTTACATTTTCTCACTTACCATAAAATCTTTCCACTATCACCCAAAAGTCATGAAAAATCTTTAAAGTTAAATCACATCTAAAGCTACTTATTGAAGCCACTACTGGCTTAAGACTGGCAGGAAGCTATAGAAAGATGATATGAAAATAGGAAACTGATCATTCAACCTGACACATTATTTTGAGAAAGAAAATGAGCTAATTAAGGAAAATTCAACTTTGGCTCGTTATTTATTGACTTAAGCCAAGCCTGATAAGTTATTAATAAACAATTCGAGCTGTGCTTTGTTTACTACAATTTGTTTATTTTATCTTAACTTTTTTAAAGGTGTCGAATGAATAGACGAGTTAAACATGTTTGCAAACACAAAAATCGTGCTCATGACGAACATCTACCTTATAATATTGGTTAATTTAATTTGCTAATCGTTCCAAAATCGAACTTTCACAAATTTAAACGAGAACCGGGCGCGCGGGGCTCAAATAACACCCGATCAACCTAAAAAAGATTTAAAAAGGATACAAAAAAAAAAAAAATGATTGAGCAAAGCAAACATGTGTATTAATATTTAATACTGTAGTAGTGTGTTACTGAACTAAATCACGTGAGGGCTGGAAAAATAACAGCTTTAACTCGAAGAAAAAATCACAGCTTCAATAATACTCTGTCTATCTCTATTGGGGCATTTTACCATCACTTTTTTCAAGAAAGTACAAAATTCGGTACGTGGAGTCGTGGACTAATCATTTGTTTCTCCATCTATAAGACTAATGATATAACATTACTTGTACCATGCCCTCATAATTAATCGAATCTAATTTATTAAATATATCATGGGTCTGCATATTTTAGTACTCCACTCTCATTAAATTTATATATAAGGAACATATGAATATAAGTCTAGGTTACGGCATATGCATCTATGTATTATAATAATTTCATTATCCTATAATAATTTATAATTAAAGTAGTGTTTATTATGTCAGTAAGGTCATGTTGCATGAACATATAAAAAGTTGAAATACATCTTTATATAATTAATGCATGGGTAATATAATCACCTTATTCAGAACTCATATTAATATCAGAGGGTGTTTGTTAAACCGTACTAGCTAAACTTATAGTTTATGTAGTCAACTCATAATTTTTTTTTCTTTGTAAATAGGTTTAGTTTGGTGGGTTGAGATTTTTTAAAATGTTAATTTGAGCTGATGTCATAAATTTCTCTACATGACGTCTCAAGTAAGTCAATTGATCAGCTACTTAATTAATTTTATTTCTAAACTAATTTTTGAATATTTTTACTATATAAACTAAATTTTCAGTCGTTGATAATTGACAAATTATCAGCTCAAAAATGATACATTATTAGTTAATTTGTGTACTTATTTTTTTTTTAATTTATGTACTTATCATCTAGCATAACGGTTAGATATACCAAAATACCCAAAATCAGTTATCCATTAACATTGCAACATTTATTTATTTATTTATTTATTATTAACTGTCACAACTCTAGTCTAATTTCACATATAACTAAAAATTCAATATATTATTTTTTCTATAAAAATTAAAAACCATTCTTATTGTTATAACTTAGAACAACAAAGAAGCAATTTTTAATATGAGATGCCATGCACACCAGTTTCATATGTTGAATGTCAGTAGCATTTAACGCCGTGTTGCCACGTCATCGACCTTTTTCCCGCTTTATGTCATGCCAGCTTGGACAGCAGAGTGGACCAGGCCTTCTTTGACTGGCTCTGGGCTTTGACTGGAGTAGGACGCTACTTTAGGCCCACTGATACCCTAACACGTCACCGTCGCTCTTCGTTCTTGGACTCTGGCCTGCCTCTTAATAAGTAGCAAAGTCTGAGGATAATATTGTAATAACCTATAATTTAATTATTATTTTTTTGTTTAAAAATACTCGATCTGGCTATAAGTTCGAACGTTGAACTGGATTCGAGCCTTATCAAATATAACGTAAACAAAAAAGTCAATAAACGAGTTCGAATTTGATTCATCAATATTAATCAACAAGTTGACCTCGAATTTTAGCTACCGGAGGAGACGAATTATAAAAACAATACATGGAAATTAATATTTTTTTAACTTTAAAGAGAAATACTCGGCTTGACTAGCTTGTTAACTAACGAACTTTAGACGATTTCGAACTCGATTCGTTTGATAGTCGAGATTAGACCTTAACGAGCAGGTTATCATATAGATTTGAGTCAAAAAAATTGATCTATCAAATTATATTTATTGATTAAAATAACTAATTCTTTATTAGAGTTGAATTCTTGGATTTAACTACCATTTTGTTATGGTAAAATGCTAGTTAAAGTCTTAAAGACAAGCTTTATGATTTGATCACGAATAACGGCACCATATTTAGTTCGATATGTTGATGTTGAATAAGCTATATAATTTATTAAGGCAAATAAACTATGTTGATTTTGCATAACAGTTAATTTGTACAATTAGTATTAACTAGTAATCAACTTGTTCATTTGTACAGAGAAAAATATTTAGAAAAAATAACAAATAAAAAGAAAAAAGAAAAATACATAATCACAATTTAATTCATGAAATAAAAATATGAATTAAAAAATAATTCTAAATATTATTAAACACTTGCATTATAAAACATTTGGGTCGAAATTATCTACTGAACAAATAATTGCATTATAAATAGTTGTTGAATTGGGATGGATAACATATTAAAAAATGTGGTGAATTCGTTTTAATTTTTTATTAAAAAACTTGTAAAGGTGACTTGGGTCGATAATCTCAGTAAGCCTGTTTGTTTAATGAGTCCGATTTAGTAAAACCCATAGAAAATAATATTTCAAATTAAACCCAATACACATTGTTTTAAACAAAAAAAAAAAANACTCCCTTGATTGATTTATGCTCATAATTTATGACATTCAAGCAAGTTATTTTGTAACTTAAAAATGAAATTGAATGTTAAAAATTTTAAAGGGATAATAAAATTTAATGCATGATAATATAATTTAATACTTTGTTGCTCCTCTTTATATATATATATATATATATATATATATCAAAATCATATCTATATTTGTAAAAACCAAATTTAATATTGTTTCTGTTGTATTGAGTGCATCGGTTTTGCTATGGAGCCATCAGATGGCTCGGCTTATGAAGCCATCCATAGTTATCCACAAATGGTGTATTGACACGTGTTCTGTAATAAATGCACATTGGACACGTGTCAATACCTAACGTTATGGATGGCTCCATAAGGGGAACATCCGATGGCTCCATAGCATTTCTGTTGAGGGCATAGTGGTTTGAATGAAACAATGTTCCTCGAAAATGGGCCGCCCGAGCTCAAGTGGGTGACATTGGTAAAACAGCAAAAGGTATAACTCAATAGACTCTCTTTGAAGCCCAATATCGTCATTACTGTACGTACTTGGGTCAATATGTTTTGCCCAGTCCATATTCTTTGGGTTTCAACTTTGATCGAGCTCAATTTTTTTTTCTTCTTTCCATTATGTTGTTTTCACTCGCAATAAAATTAGACTTTAATTTTATTTTTTTCCAATTAATGAAATCGTTTTTTACTTTTATTTTTTCTATTTTTTTTTTCATTTTATGAGGTAAATCACTACCATGAATCTGAATTTGCAGAGAGTAGTTAATATATGCATTCCAAGTTTTGAAAAAGGAAAAGCTATGTGAAAAATGGCAATTTGCCTAACAATCTAATTCTCATTGATAGAACTTTGCTGAAAATTCGAGCAAGAAATCAAATGTGCTAGACCGAAGCACGTATATATAAGACCATTGCATATTCCAAGCCAAAAACAGAACAACAAAGAAATAAATAATCAGAAAAAAAAAAAATAACATGGCTAATTTTCATACTTCCTTTCTTTCGATTCTCATAGTCATCATTACCATATCATCAGCCTCAATCTCATCATCAACCTGTCATAAACTGAACGATAATGAAATAAAGCACTTGTGCTCGAAAACCAGCAATTTACTAAATTGTTACAAACTCATAAAAACCGATAATCGCACCACAAATCACGGCTCGAACGGCCTTGCAAACTATTTAATCGAGATGGCTACTCAAAAGGCTAAGAAAATCCAAGCCGAGCTCAACTCTTTCGCCAATAAGGCAACACAACATTCTGAATTGAGAAAAAAATACAGTTTGGTCTCCAAAAAATACAGCGAAATCATTCGTAACCTTGAAGCTGCAAAAAAAGACATTAAATCGCATGCGTACAAGAATTTGTATGGTCCGGTGAAGAGTGCTTATGAAGAAACTGTAAAGAGTGTTAAATTGCTAGGGGGATTTATGGATCATCGCGCGCACTTGCAGAAGCAGAATAAAGACCTCGAATTTGTTCTTAGCATAGCTAAAGCTGTTGGAGATGGTCTTAACAAGAAGTAGACTTTGAAAATCATGTTTAATATACATTAATCATGTTATTGAATAAATCACATTATGTGAAGAGTTTGAAGTGACAAGCGTAATTTTCAACATAAATAATAATGTAATTTTTCAATAAATTATTTGAAATTTAAATAATAAGTATAAATTCTAATAAGAAGATTATTGAATTTTAAAATACATAGTTATCTCCAAAACAGTGAGAAATAGCAACATTAATTAGAGAGTATAGAAAATGTACTAATATGCCTTATAAAATGTACCAACATATTGGCACAAACCCAGAAACTCTTTTTTTTTCACTTCCTATCTGTAACGTAGAATTACAGAACAGTAATTAAACCACAACGCCTACTAAGTAATAACTTTAAAAAATCCCAGATTTTTCTTTTTTTTTTCACTTCTTCTCTGTAGACTGTAACGTACAATTCACAACAGTTTAAGTTATTAAAGCACTACACTTAAATAACTTCCAAAAACTGTCTAACCTCTAAACTCTCATATCAACCACTATTATATAAACACAAGCCCTCAATAGTTGACAGTCAAAATTTTAATCGACACGTTGTTATATACTATGTAAGTCGACAAAAAGATAGTTTCATATTTTCTCTCTCTAGAGATGTTGTTCCATTATTGGAGAATGTTTATCATCTTTATCTTGTTCAGAGTGACCATCACACCGTTCGATTCCTAATCTGTTTCTTAAACCAACTGTTTCTATCTCGTAGTTCTTTCGCCTTCTTTTCCCCATTTCAATTGCTACGATTTTTAATTCTTCTGCCATTTCCTGCTCGGACCATATTCATTAGGGTTTTCTCCTCACTCATCTATCCCTTTGTTCTAGCCCCATTGCTCCCCTCCTCTGGATATCATAATGGAAAATGAAATTATTGACAAACTTCAGAACTTTGCCCTCTCGTCGAAAGAGGAAGAAGGTCTTGAGTTATTGGAAATTGACACAGTGCCGGGCATTCAAGAATGCAGTCTCAGCCTTATCGGTAAAATCAACGGCGAAAAAAGGGTTAATTTTAGCGGTCTGAAAACGACTTTAAGTGGAATCTGGTCTACGCAATTGCCGTTCAGTATTACAAGTCTCGGGCCCAACTCCTTCCGTTTCCTCTTCCAATGTGAGGAAGACAGAGATAAGATTCTTCATGGCAAAACATGGAACTTCGACGGGCAGTATTTACTTCTCAAAAAATGGACACAAGAAACCCTCAGTTTCACAGAAGATGAAGAATTTATCAAAATCTGGATTCAAGTGCACAATCTCCCGCTTCACTGGATGAGTGCAGACATTGGGCTCAAAATAGGGAAACTCATCTGCACGCCATTGGACGTGGCACTCCCAGGCCCGGGGAGCTCACAGGGCCAAATTATTAAAATTCTTGTTGAATTGAAACTGAAAGACCCTATATTGAGAGGCCTAAAAATCAAACTTGGTTCCGAAAGCAAATAGGTTAATTTTCGATACGAAAACCTTCAGAACTTGTGCTTTTATTGCGGCAAAATTGGTCATAGTGATCGGAACTGCCAAACCAAAAAGGAGGATGTTAGAGAAAATGTCATTAACCTGGGCCAATTCGGTGAATGGTTGAGAGCCCCCCGCAGCTACAATTTTGAATTGAGGTCTGTTAGCCCTATTATATCTGGTAGCCATTCTGGGGAGAAAGAATCTTCTAAATTGCATACTCCTAGCCCTGAAATTAGACCTGCCCCTGAGAGAAATAGTGAGACAAATCTTATTACAAAAGTTACTAATCCAGAGACCCTACCCTCATCACCAAATTTGAATCTTGCTCCTCAAACTACAAATTCTAATACCATCCCCATTACCCAACCAGCACATTTACCCCCTTTTGAGGAAGAAGAGCCCAAAACCATGCCCTCCCCTACCTTGGTGGATATTGAAATGCAGCCTATGATAATGGAAGATAAGTCCACTCCTAAAAAGAGAAAGACTTTTACCAGAAAATCCAGAACCCAAACATTCTCTTCTCACACAGCACCGCCCACTGATTTATCTCACACTGGAGTTTTGAAACCAGAAATTGAACAAGGTAGCCTCAAAAGATCCTCTTTATCCTTAGACCCTGAAATAGGGGAAAGCTCCAACATTACCAAAAAGCAAAAACTCTATGCTTGTACAAATCTTTCTGTGGTGGAGGAACCAGCCCTAATTGGTCCCATGGTGCCCAATGAAAGTTTCGGTGTGGAATTGTAGAGGTCTGGGAGGGCCCTCTACAATTTCCCAAATCAAAGACGTTCTCTGAACTCACCTCCCAGATTTTATTTTTCTTTCAGAAGTTAAAAAGAAAAAAAAAAATTGTAGAGTCAGTCTGTAAAAAACTTAAATTTGATAGTAGATGGACTTTTGTTGATCCCTCTGGATCCAGAGGAGGTCTCTTTTTGGGTTGGTCTTCCCAGGTGGAGATTTTGGAGCTATTCTGCCATGACGTTTGTTTTGAAGTTCACTTTAAGCTGAGTACTGAAGGGTTTTCCCAATGGGCCATCTTTTTGTATGCTAGTAATGATCCATCAGAAAGGCAGATGCAATGGGGATTCCTATTGAGGCATAGCTTATCTTGGGGTCGATATTGGTTCCTCGGAGGGGACTTCAACGACATTCTTGATAATAGCGAGAAGAGGGGGGGGCAGAATGCGAGACGACAGCAGTTTCCATCATTTTAGAGAATTTGTCAGTGGAATAGGTTGGGTGGAAACTCAAACCATAGGGCACCCCTACGCATGGGCCAACAACTGTGCCGGTTCAGATTTCATTGAAGTCAAGCTCGACAGATTTTTCCTATCCCCCGATTGGCTCCTACAATACCCCATGGCTCAAGTTAATCACATTTCACTCTCAGCTTCGAATCATAATATGATTATCTTGGAGACAGACGGCATTAAGAAGATGTACAAGAAAAAATTCTACTTTGATCACAGATGGGCGCAACTCGAAGGATATGAAGATATAGTTGATACTTCTTGGAATCTGAATGTGGAGGGGCCAGAGCTTTTTGGTATCATGGGCAGAATAAAAAACTGTCAAGAAAGCTTTGATTGGATGGAAAAGTAAGGCGCTTACCAACTCCGCCTCGAAGATAAAACTTTGCACAGAAAATTTAAAGCAACTAGAATCACAGGGCGGCTACAGGGACTGAGAGGCATGGCATAGAAACAGAGAACAACTCCATCATGCTTACAAGGAAGAAGAAGTATACTGGAGACAAAAAGCCCGTGTCCATTGGCTGAAATCCGGGGACAAAAACACTTGATTCTTCCAAGCGAGTGTGAAGCAAAGAAGGCAAACCAATGACCTGCATCGCTTGGTTAAAACCTGATGGGAAATTCTGCACAACTGAATCGGAAATCCTTACTGAAGTTCGGAATTATTTCAGCAATCTCTATAAAACCTCTGACCCTTTGCTTGATCACTGCGACTTAGAGGGTATTTCAGAGTCTATCACTGCAACAATGAATTCTAAGCTAACAAGAGAGGTCGAGGAGAATGAAATCAGAAATGCGGTTATGAGCATGGATCAAAATAAAGCACCCGGAATTGACGGGATGACGCCAGCTTTCTTCCAAAAATCCTGGCCTACTATCAAAACACATCTTTGTGCAGCTGTTCAATCCTTCTTCAAAAATGGGAAGTTTCCCAAGAACGCTAATCACACAGTCCTCACTCTAATACCCAAAATTAAAAACCCTAATAAGGTGGCCGATCACAGACCGATAAGTTTGTGTACTGTCCTGTACAAGATAATTTCAAAAATCTTGGCCAACAGACTGAAGCAAGTGCTCCATCATTGCATCTCCCCAGCCCAGCCGCATTTGTTCCCGGTAGACAAATCCTCGATAATGTAATTCTCGCGAATGAATGTATCCATCATTTGAATAGCAAAAGGGCGGGCAAAGACAATCTGATGGCGATCAAGCTTGACATGGCCAAGGCATTCGACAGAGTTGAATGGGGATTCATTGCCAAAATCTGTAAGAAAATGGGGTTTTCTGACTTGTTCATCTCTTGGGTGCTCTCATGTGTTTGTTCATCTACCTTCTCATTCAACATCAATGGACAGACTTTAGGGTACCTTCACCCTACTCGAGGCTTGAGGCAGGGTGACCCTCTGTCACCCTACCTTTTTATCCTCATATCCGAAGCGTTTTCCAACCTCTTAACACAAGCTTGCAGGTCCAACTCTTATAAAGGACTGAAATTAGCCAAACACTCTCCAGTCGTCTCTCACTTGTTCTTTGCAGACGACACCATCCTATTCTGCAAAGCCGACTCACATCATGCCCTTTCCATTATGCACATCCTACACTCTTATGGCCTCTCTTCAGGCCAGTTGGTTAACCTCAGCAAATCATCCATTTTTTTCTCTAAAAACACCTCCGAGGACACTATGAAATCCATCTGCAATACCCTGAATGGGATCACCTGGGTGAATAATGCTAAATATCTGGGCCTCCCACTAGGACTCGGCAGATCTAAAAGAGACACATTTAAATTTGTTTCTGACTTTGTGATTCAAAAAATGGCTAACTGGAAGAATGTTTTCCTAAGCGAGGCAGGTCGTGAAGTATTAATCAAATCTGTGCTGGAATCCCTCCCCATATATGTCATGTCCTGCTTTAGGATACCTGTCTCTGTTTGCCTGGACATTTGCAAGGCTGTTTCAAGTTTTTGGTGGGGTAAAGGAGCTGCTGGCAAGGATAAAATTCACTGGTGCAACTGGAACTTTCTCTCCAAACCTAAAACTAAGGGTGGTCTGGGGTTTAAGAATTTCAGAGCATTTAATGAAGCTTTGATTGTCAAGCAGCTTTGGAGGCTGATTACTAAGCCTAACCTCCTGGTTAGTAGGGTGCTCAAAGGAAAATACTACTGGCATCAGCAGTTGCTTGAGGTTAAAGCTAAAAATAGAGACTCATGGCTCTGGAAAAACTGGCTCACAGCAAGGGACTCCTTGAAATTGGAGTTATTATATCAGATTGGGGATGGCAATGCTACAAGAATCTGGGATTCTCCTTGGATCCCGGGCCTACTTAATTTTCAGCTTACCTGTTGCTTTTTGGATGACAGGAGCAGATTGACTTGGGTCAGGGAGCTATTTAGCTCTAATGGTCAGGAATGGGATGTTGATTTGATCATGCAAACTTTTACGCCTTTTGTTGCTGAGAAAATTCTTGATTTGCAAATAAGTATGGTAAGGGTAAAGGACAGGCTCATCTGGCACAAACATCCTAAAGGTACTTTAACTGTAAAGAGTGTAAATCAGACCATCCTTCAGCATCAAAATTTCTCACCTGATATAGCTGGCCCGAGCTCTGGTCTTTCAAGTGCGGAAAAATGTGGACTGCCCTGTGGAACTTACCAAATGTAGGGAAGCTGAAATCATTTCTTTGGAGATGTTGGCATGGTTTCCTCAGCACAAACATGAAGCTCCATGAAAAAAAAAAATTAATGTCCAACAGGTATGTTGCATGTGTGGAGAACATGATGAAGATCTGGAACATGTTTTTGTTAAGTGCCCTAGAGCTGCTCTATGCTGGAAATTATTGGGTATGGGATCACTTTCAACTACAACACTTTAAATTCAAAGACTGGTGGATCTCTATATGTCAGCCTGGGGGAGATAGCTGCCTGGTGGATCGCATAAGTCTTTCCACATACCACCTTTGGTGGTTGTGGAAGACTCGGAATTCTTGGCTCTTTTGACAAATCATGGAATAATGCACAGAAGGTGATTGATTTGGCCAAAAATGACTGGACAGAGTTCATTGCATCTCTCACTAATCAAGGTAACCCATCTTTGCATACCATATCTTCTGATGAGACTGCTGCTTTAAATTCCTTGGATGGGGTAGGGCTCTTGCATCTTAGAGTCAGTGCTTCCATTTCCAAGGACGGCCATGGAGTGATGTTGTGTTCTGGATTCAAAGGAGTACAAACAATAAAATGGCAGAAGACCTTTACCAAAGTGCCTAACAGGAAAGCTGCTATTTTACTTGCTATCAGATGGAGCTTTATGCAGTTGATCCAGCAGGGTAACACAAATTTATGCTGTACATTGGACTCTGCAGAACTGGTCCATATGCTCAACTCAAGAGGCACTCCCCTCATAGTTGTTGCTACTTTGGTTCTGGACATTTTTGCACTATTGGACTCTTCTATTAGTTGTAGATTTTTTATTAATGCCACCCCTTAATTTTATGTTAGCTTGATGGCTTGCAGTGGGATGTTCTTCTTCCCCCGCTTGAGTTCCTTTGGGACTTATGTAATCAGTTGGTTGCACAATGTAAGACTGGTTTATTTGAGTTTTTTAAATATTGTTTGTTTGATGTTGAAATGAAGA